CCAACCCACCCCCAGCCCCCAATTTACAGGTATCCCTCAATTTACAACCATTCATTTAGCAATCATTTGGAGTTTCGAAAAACAAAGTGACACGGCCAGTCACTTTGGGGTGAAATCTAAAACTTTTTGCTACCAGTTCTGTGGGTGTGGCTTAATTAGTGGGTGTGGCTTGGTGGTCAGGTGACTGGGTGGGCGTGGCTTGGTGATCAGCTGGGCGTGGCCAAGTCAACGTCACTTCTTTGCCCTTTTTTAACCTACAAAACACAACACAACACAACTGGCTCACTCACAATGTAAAAGCAGCTGTGCTAGACCCCAAATGGCCCCTGCAACAAGCAGGAACCTCACACAGCCACAAAAAGCCCCAAAAACCAACTTTCACACTTTACACATACACACAACACAACACAACACAACACAACTGGCTCACCCACAATGTAAAAGCAGCTGTGCTAGACCCAAAATGGCCCCTGCAACAAGCAGGAACCTCACACAGCCACAAAAAGCCCAAAAAAACAACTTTCACACTTTACACATACACACAACACAACACAACACAATGTAAAAGTCGTGTGATCAGAATTCAGGTGCTTGGCAAATGGCAGGGATCGAAGGTCACGTGATCGCCATTTGCGAACTTCCCAGCCAGCTTCTAACAAGCAAAGTCATCGGGGGAAGCTGGATTCACTTAACAACTGCAGCAATCCGCTTAATGATGGTGGCAAAAACAAAAAAAGGTTGTAAAAATCAGGCGCAACTTACTTAACAACCTCCTTGCTTAAAAAGAGGGCTGGGAAAATATCTACACACTCCTCGCATCCTGGACATCAACTGTTTCAACTCCTACCCTCAAAACAATGCTATAGGGCACTGCACACCAGAATAACTAGACACAAGAACAGTTTTTCCCCGCATGCATCACTCTGCTAAACAACTAATTCCCACAATTAGTAAGTAAGACTGTATTACTGGTTTTTTTTGAAAAAAGTTTTTTATTTTTAAACAAAACATAAAACAACCATCATCCATTACAATTACAAAAAGTGTATCGATCGGCTACATATCTTTCGTGCTTAATCCCATATCCAAAATTCTCTTATTTGACAATTTATTAGATCCCTTTGCATTATTATTCTCGTTTACCAATTATTTAACAATGGCTTATCTCCCGTAAGAAACCGCTTCATATATTCTATTATTACATTTATTTCATGTTTCATATCAAGTGATATTGTTTATCTTCCTCTTCCCTAATTTCAAATGTCAATTTACTCATTTCAGCAGAGTCCATAATTTTTTTAATAACTTCATCATCAGTAGGTATCTTCTCTCCTTTCCAGTTTTTAGCAAATACAATTCTAGCCGCTGTTAAAACATTCACAATTAAGAATCTCAGTTCTCTATTATATGTCTCTGGAAAAACCCCTAATAAAAATATCTCTGGTTTAAAGTCAATGTGTTTCTTTGTCATTTTTTCCAACCATGTGTGGACTTTAGTCCAATATCTTTTAGCTTCTGCACATGTCCACCACATATGGTAATATGAACCCGGAATCTGATGAATGTATTACTGTTATTCTTTTCATCCTCCCTATTGCCTTTCTTCTTTCTACCTATGACTATAACAGTGATGGCGAATCTATGGTACACGTGCCGGAAGTGGCACACAGAGCTATCTCCCCGGGCACATGAGCCGTTGCCCATTTCTCTTCCGGGTTCCGGTGTACCAGCCAGCTGGTCTTCATGCGCACGGGAGCAAAAGAAAATGGAAGAGCAGCTGCGCAGTGTGTATGCGTGCACCGGGCAGCTGCTCTCCGGTTTCCAGCGTGCGCATGCATACCGGGCATCTGGTCTTCTGATTTTTGGCATGCATGTGTGTACGAAGGGCAGCTGGTCGGCGTGCATGTGCGCACCAGAAAGCAGAAGATAATCTTCCTGGTGCGCACATGCCCACCGGGTGGCTGTTTTTCCAGTTTCTGGCATGCACCTGCGTGTGTGCACAGTCTCGTTTGGACACTCGGTGCTGAAAAGCTTGGACAACAGTGGATCTTGTTGTTTGTATCTTTACAATTTATATTGTGTTATTTAGTTTCCTAGTATGATTGCTTATTTAGTGTCCTATGACTATCACTAAGTATTGCATATTATGATTCTTGATGAATGTATTTTTTACGTACACTGAGAGCGTATGCACCAAGACAAATTCCTTGTGTGTCCAATCACACTTGGCCAATAAAGAATTCTATTCTATTCTATTCTATTCTATTCTATTCTATTCTATTCTATTCTATTCTATTCTATTCTATTCTATTCTATTCGAGTGCCCTTGAAGAGCATTCGGAGGCTCCAACTGGTCCAGAATGCGGCCGCGCGGGTGGTTATGGGCGCAACTCGTTGTGCCCACGTGACACCCCTCCTGCGCGAGCTGCACTGGCTCCCAGTGGTCTTCCGGGTGCGATTCAAGTTGTTGGACACCACCTTTAAAGCGCTCCATGGCATTGGACCTGGATACCTTCGAGACCGACTTCTGCCACCAATAGCCTCCCAACGGCCAGTTCCCTCCCACAGAGAGGGTCTCCTCAGGGTGCCATCGGCCAAGTTATGTCGGCTGGCGACACCCAGGGGGAGGGCCTTCTCTGTGGGAGCCCCAGCCCTGTGGAATGAACTGCCCCCGGAAATACGCAAGATCTCTGATCTCCGTGTATTTCGCTGTGCCCTCAAAATGTTGTTCCGCCAGGCCGGGCTATCAACATAATAATTTTAAATTGGGTGTTTTAAATTTCTGGGGTTTTAAATTGAGCCGAATTATTTAATAATTTTAAATTATTTTAATTGATGTTTGTCTTGTGCTTTTAATAGGCTGTACACCGCCCTGAGTCCTTCGGGAGAAGGGCGGAATAGAAATAAAATTATTCTTATTTTCTTATTCTTATTCTTATTCTTATTCTTATTCTATTCTATTCTATTCTATTCTATTCTATTCTCCATTTCTTTCTTTCTATCTCTCTCTCTCTCTCTCTCTATCTTATCTATCTTTTGTTTTATGTACACTGAGAGCATATGCACCAAGACAAATTCCTTGTGGGTCCAATCACACTTGGCCAATAAAGAGTTCTATTTGTGGACGTAAGTTGGGAACTACCTGGATGGTTGGCCCTGGCCCTGTTGGCTTTCGGAGAAGGATTAAAATCCTGTTTTTGTCCTTGAGATCCAGAGAAAGAAAGGCGTGGGTAGCCCCCGATCACTTGTCGAGGGTTTCGGATTGAATTTTTAAATTGGATTTTCTTTCTTTTCCTCATTCATCTTTTGGCTAGGCTGAGCTGCCCAGGAGAACAGCACTTCTCCCTACAATGATGTCTTTGGATTTTGGTTTTTAATTCTGTTGTAATTCATTTTAGATTGGGAATGACTGCCTCCCTGCGGCCTGGTTTATACAGGTAGTCCTCAACGTATGACCACAATTGAGCCCCAAAATTTATGTTGTTAAGTGAGACATTTTGTGTGTTTGGCCTCATTTTTTATGACTTTTCTTGTCGCATTTGTTATGTGAATCCCTGCAGTTGTTAAGTGAGTAACACAGGGTCGTTAAGGGAATCTGGCTTCCCCATTGGCTTTGGTTGTCAGAAGGTCGCAAAAAGGGATCACGTGACTCGGGGACACTTCAACCGTCATAAATGTGAGTCAGTTATCAAGCATCCAAATTTAAATCATGTGACTATGGAGATGCTGCAATGGTCATAAGCATGAAAAATGGTCATAAGTCACTTTTGAAAGTGCTGTTGTAACTTTGGTCACTAAACGAACTGTTGTAAGTCAAGAACTACGTGTACAATGTTTTTATTTTTCATGGTATGGTAATAGTGTTTTCCAGCCCTCTCTAAGCAGTTTTACAGAGTCAGCCTCTTGCCCCCAACAATCTGGGTCCTCATTTTACCCACTTCGGAAGGACGGAAGGCTGAGTCAACCTTGAGTTGGTCAAGATCAAGCTGCTGACAGTGGGCAGAGTTTGCCTGCAATACTGCATTCTAACCACTGTGCATCATGGATGGATGGATGGATGGACGGATGGACGGAAGGAAGGAAGGAAGGAAGGAAGGAAGGAAGGAAGGAAGGGCAATAGCAATAGCACTTAGACTTATATCCTGCTTCACAGTGCTTTCCAGCCCTCTCTAAGCGGTTTACAGAGACAGCCTATTGTCCCCCAACAATCTGGGTCCCCATTTTACCCACCTCAGAAGGATGGAAGGCTGAGTCAATCTTGAGCTAGTCAAGATCCAACTGCCCACAGTGGATAGAGTTTGCCTGCAATGCTGCATTCTAACCCAGAGGTCTCCAAACTTGGCAATTTTAAGAGTTGTGGACTTCAACTCTCAGAATTCCCAATGCTGGCTAAGGAATTCTGAGACTTGAAGCCCGTAAGTCTTAAAATTGTAAAGTTTGCAGGCCCCTGTTCTAACCACTGAGCCAGTTCTCTCCTCTCTATTATAATTGTTTGCATCCAAATTGTATTATATTAGAATTAGAATAGAATAGAGCTGGAAGGGACCTTGGAGGTCTTCTAGTCCAGCCCTCTGCTCAAGCAGGAGAACCTCTACTATTTCAGACAAGTGGCTGTCCAATCTCTTCTTAAAAACCTCCAGTGATGGAGCATCCATGATTTCTGGTGGCAAGCTGTTCCACTGGTTAATTGTCCTCACTTTTAGGAAGCTTCTCCTTCATTCCAGGTTGCTTCTCTCCTTGATTATTTTCCATCCATTGTTTCTTGTCCTGCCTTCGGGTGCTTTGGAGAATAATTTGACCCCCTCTTCTTTGTGGCAGCCCCTCAAATACTGGAATAGTGCTATTTGGTGTGTTGCCTTGTAAATTACCCAGAAAGTAATTTGATGACTGGACCAACTCTAAATTATATTAGAACCCAAGGAATAAATCTGAACTGTGACCTACACGCAGTGTGTGAGAAGGCCTGCTGCTGTTCAGGATCCATGCGAGGGACGGAATCGTTCATTCGTGGAAGGAAAATCAGGGTGTTTCTCTTAAGTCACTCCTCCTCCTTACAGTGACGTGTTTCGGGTTAAAATGCAAAACCAGGGGCTCCGTTGCTTGATGGTTTTTAAAGGAAGTGCAGGAGGCAGAGGAAACACACTTTTTACGAGCCAAGTTAATGAGCCAGACGATCAAAGGTGAGTTTCTGTTCCGTTTTTTTTTTTAATTACAAATGCAAAGAAAACGGTGCGTTAAACGATCTGAGGAAGTGACTTCATCCATTCAGTCTTTCCGGAAAGTAAAAAATAGCTGATGATCCTTTCTCCTCTTTCTTTTTTTCCAGGGCTGCAGTGAGAAAGCAGAAAGGCAAGAGAGAATCCCTGCTCCGAAGTGAAAGGATTCTTGGTAGGTGACCCTGCAGATTCCTCTTGCGGAGATACAGAATCTTTCTATCTCTGGTTCAGCTTCTCTCTCTCTCTCTCTCTCTCTCTCTCTCTCTCTCTCTCTCTCTCTCTC